AGCTTGGAGGACCATCACTAAAGACATGAAGAATAATAAATCTACCAGAAACTTTGGCTGCTTGGACATAATGACGAACATTTCCACACTAACAGATTTACCTTTCATTTTCTGGAAGATGAGCTTCGCGACATCTTCTGGAGCGACGTACTTTGGCTGCTGTCCTGATGTGATCTCATAAAAAGGTTTGTTGTCTCTGCTGACGACCTAAACACACAAAATATCCTCAGACTCCAAAAACCAAACTGTGTTTGTGCCGTCATCACAGATCGTTGTAGTGAAACTCTCACAGACCAGAAACGGCATCTTCAGGAAGTTAAAATCTCAGCCGCTAAAGGCAGCTTCTAAAAAACTAATAATGATATAATGCTTCTCAGTGTAAGTAAAGCCCGTGTGTAGTTAGAACTATGTGTAACATGTAAATAAGAAAACAACCTGCAGTTATCTGTAAATCGTTTACAGTAAATCCTTTCTTTCTTTCACAGTCTGTAAACATGTTACAGACCAAACGACTGACAATCCCTGCAGAACAATTCACTCATTATTACTGATCCAACATCAGAGTCCTGTCAACACGATTCAGGAAATGTGATCTAAGGATTTAGTCATGAGGGAGAAGTGTGACACAGGGCTGTTTGCATTAATGGATCATCAGCTTTAAATAAAACAAGACCTGAGGCAACTTTTTAAAACTGTGAGTCCAGAAAAAGTGTTGAAAGTGAGACGAGCTGGCTCAGCAAGTCTCATCTGTAAAGCACCAGGATCCAAACTGTGTGGAGCTCCTGACCTTTGGTCTTTCAGAGGGTTTAGATTCGTTGTTCAAACCTACCTGACATTTGGTCTCCGTTCTGTGCCTTTGTATCTCTGGGTCATCAAAGCTTTTCAATCAGAGAGAAACACACACACACACACACACACAGTTATGAGCTGCTGTCCACAGGATGTCAAGGATCATAATAATAACTCGTTCCTTCCTCACTCAGGCTACAAACAGCATGAATACAAATGTTGTCAGAAATGTAACTTTTGTCATTTCTGTCTCAAAAACATCTGTTTCCTTTTCTACTGCAGCTCACTGAGTAACTGCTACATGGGCTCTGATCAAAGCCATCCTCTCATGTGTAGCTGATGGTCTGACTGCATGTAGCAGAGCGGACAGGAGCCTCCATATTCCTGCCACAGTGTTTGTTTTTCCCAGAGGAGAAACCAGACTGATGTCCACGTGTGATGATGCAATCAATCTGAACAATGTTAGAGCTGCATAATGTTGCTTTTTTCTTTGAGTTATTAATAATTATAATAATATCATGTAGGTTTCACATTTGTAAACAAAACATGGTCAGCTGTGTCACCTTCTCCCGAGCACTTGTTTCACTTTGACGACTGTACTGGCAGCGTTGCGGACCCGTCCCTGTTTTGCTGCTATACC